TCAATTTGTCGGGCATTTTTTTATGGTATATCTGTTTTTTTATTTTATTTTCATGAAATATAATTAATTAATTATTTCAAAAATGCCTTTAATTAATCTCTCTGAAATAATATTGTAAAAAGTAAATATTTTAATATATTGTTGTTTTATGAAATATAGTTTGTTTTATATTAGAGCAGCTATAAGTAGTTTTGTAATGGTAACAAGTTATTCTAATTAATTATATAGCTTTTGGAGCACTAAATTAAGTTTATTGCGCCTTTTTTAAATTAACACGGGCTTAACCTAAAATAATATCTTCTGGGGCAATCAAAGAATAGTTTTAACTATTGTTCTAAAAATTGAACCGGTCATCGAATCAGTGAAGCTACTGGTTCAATGGTTCATCGGTCGGACCAATGGTCGAACCGGTCGAACCGTTTTAATTAATATATATTTTTTTATTTAATTTGTTATGTATAATATATAATTATATATTTTTTATCATTAATTTTATAAATTTGACAGTGTATGTATGGAATTTCTCTAAATAATAATTCAATAATACATGCGATCCATAATGTTCATTAATGTTTATAACTTTTTATTTTACTTTGTATATTTAAATTTTTAATGTAAATATAAGTTACAAGATAGGGAGAATAGAAACAACCCTATTTTTACTTTAAATTTTTTTATTATTGATTAAAAAAATAAAAATAATTTGCATAACAAACATCAATAATATGATTATTTATTTTTTTAATAAATCGAGAAATAAATAAAGCCCAGTAGATATTTCAATTTAAAAAATAGTGCATTTTTAATGACTACAATATTGTTTATAAGATCCAATATTGACCCAATAATTTTAGCAATGGGACGTATCTCACATTGGAACACAAATAAAAAAGTATGCTATTTAAATCACTTCATAATGATCCAATTCCAAATTAAAATTGAATTGTTGAACCATTCGAACCGGTCTCGGTTCACTGGTTCAACCGGTTTTGGATCGGTTCGAACTATTTTTTACCGGTTCGGCAGCTAGGCGGTTTGATTGAGCAAACTGACCGGAATGAAGTCTGGTTTCCGGTCTAACCGATTGAACCGGCCAGTCCAATCCGGTTTTGAGAACAATGGTTTTAACATTTTTTACCCACTAAAAACTATAATTGTGATTCATTTCAAATTCAAAATAATACCCCAAACAACATAACTATTGTTGTCAGATTGTCTAACCATTAGACATCTATAATACAAAAATGAATTCTTATACTATATGAGTATGAAAGTATAATTAAGTATGCTCTTATACTATATGAGTATGAAAGTATAATTAAGTATGCAAATTATGCCGAAATATATTCGTCTAACAATTAGACAACTTAACTGTACAATTTATTTAATAAATTATCAAGTTACTTCCCTAAACGTATTTCGATTGCAATTTAACAAATAACAATATTAAGAGATATTTGAGCTTATTACATATTACATCAAAATAACTTGAGAAATAATATATGTTTAAATCCAAAATAAATTAAAACTCAAGATTCTATCAACGAGAAAGGAAAATAATACGGTTTCGTTACGGAACAATTTCATCGGAGTTTGTAACCGTTAGATCAACTATCCCCGACGGTTACATGATGACCTAACGATTACAAACCCTGAACGAATAGTTCCGTAACGAGACTGTAGCATCTCTCAAAGAAAAATTACCTGACAAAAA